CCGGCTCTAACTGCTTTTTTTTTTTTTTTTTTTTTTTTTTTTTATTCCTTCCTCTTTTTAATTGAGTGTTATGGGCCCAGGACCGGCAGGGTCCCTGAGATTTCGTTATCCTTGAAGTCACACTTTTGTGACACTGGCAGAAATGTAAAACAGTGCTGCTGTTCTCACCCAGCCTTTTTTAAATCTAAATTGGAAAATAGAGCTATTAAAAATTTTTTTTCTTAATGTTAGTATACTGAAGGGTTGTTTTGTTTTGGACCAGTGTCACTATATCCCAGGCTGTCCTTAATCTCATAGGCAAGTGATCCTTTTGCCTCAGCTTCATGAGTCATTGGGACTCTGCAGATGTGTGCAGTAGCATCTGGGTTTGGGTTTAAAAATATTTCTGAATGAATTATACATACTTTAAGCATTTCTCTTTTAATTTCTAATGCAGTGAATGTTGTCAATAGAATTCTTTTTCCTTATGTGTATGGCAGGGTTGCTGAGAATTGAACCCAGGTCCTCATGAAAGCTGGGCAAATACTCCCTACTGATACAGGAAATGATATAGGGGAAATATTACAGCTCCCAACCTGCTAGACGTTCACAGTGCCAGTTCGTGTTCCCCAAAATTGAAAAATGAATTCTAAGGAATAGAGGCATTACAAATGACACACGAGAGGATACAGCCATTATAAAAGAAAAGGCTTTATTCCTGTCTGGATGTGAACAAGGACTGAAACAAGGGTAGATTTCAGTAGTGAGGTAGATGGAAGAGAAATTAGTCTTTTATATAGGTTTTTAGAAGGGGCTAAGGAATGTAGAGTGGAATGTTTAGGAGTAAGGGTCCGAAGATGGTCAGCGCAGGTGTGCATTATACTTGACTCTGACACCGGGGAGATTTTATGTTCCATTCTGAATTTTCTTTATGGCCCTCTGTTCTGTTTATGGAGAGGAGGCTGTTGTTCACTGAGGTCTGTGTGTGTTTGCTCAGAGGATTTCGTTTAGGCCAGGCAGGACAGGAGGTTAAGAGTAGGAAATATTTATTGAGGGGAAAGATACAGCTCCTGAGAGGAGAGAGGACCCGAAATTGGAATTGCAGGGACCCCACTTCTCAGGGGAAGTTTTATAGAGCACAGCCACATGAGTACAACATGAGTTACAGCTTTGATCAATCGAAAAGATTTTAAGTCTAGTCACTTAGGTAACTTTGATCTAGTGGTGAAGCAAGTCACATGCAAATGTACGTGGAAGGAACAAAGAACTTTTCAGGAAGGGATGAGTCTGAGGGTCTTGGTGACCCACTGAGGTGACTGATGCCTATGCAGACTTCATTAGACCAAATGTTACCACTTAACCTTAGGCCTAGTCATTTCATCTTTTTCTTGAGGCCTGACTTCCAGTAGATGTGGCCTCCAACTACAGTTGTAATGTATTTTTACTTTTCTTGACTCTCAAGGGCCTAGCCCTATCTAAATGCCTGTAATATTTCTGCCTCGCTGTGCTGTCTGTAATACTACTACTTTTGAGACAGGGTTTTGAGTTCACCTAGGCTGAACTCGAGCTTGAGATCCTCTTCCTTCAGACTCCCTAAGAACTCGGATTACAGACATGTGCCATCTCTCCTGTCAGAAAGAACCCAGTTTTTTTGTTTTGTTTTGTTTTGTTTTGTTTCTTAAGAGTATGAATAGTTTATCCTAAGACAAAAAATGGATTACAGACATGTGCCATCTCTCCTGTCAGAAAGAACCCAGATTTTTGTTTTGTTTTGTTTTGTTTTGTTTCTTAAGAGTATGAATAGTTTATCCTAAGACAAAAAATGTGAGAGCCATGGCTCTGGGGCATATGTGCCTCTAGTCTTAATTAGGCAGGAGGATGGCTGGAGTCCTGTAGTTTAAAGCTAGTTTGGGCAACATGAGAATTCACTGATAATGCAGTAGAATCAGCTAAACAGCTAAAATTCATGAAGTTAAATAGAAATGATAAACATGGAAGCAGAAAGGGCAGAAGTAAAAATTGAAAAAGAGAAAGATGAAGAAAGATAACTGATCCATTTTAAGAATAAAAGAAAATAGAGTTAAGTAAGGGTGGCAGACAAAGAATAAAATAAGAGAGAGTAAAAACCGGGCGTGGTGGTGCATGCCTGTAATCCCAGCACTCGGGAGGCTGAGGCAGGAGGATGTGCTGTAAATTCAAGACCAGCCTGGGCTACATATCTCCAGGTCAGTCTCAACTACATAGTGAGACCCTGCCTGTCTCGAAAAAACAAACAAACAAACAAGCAAAAAAAACCAAAACAACATATATATATTAGCACAAGATAGGGGAAAAAAAGAAAAATGAATCCAAATAATTCCTGCACGTTTCCAAGGTCTGTGGTATTGGAATTCACCAGAGTGGGTGAGGGTAGTGAGTCACAGCTGGAGCGTATTTTGCTTCTAGACCCCCTTTTTGTTATGTGAATGCAGGGGTGTGGTGTCCGCCTGGTGGGGGGGTTCTTAGTGTTTGTGCCCTTCCTGTGTCCTGTCACTGCTATCTCATACTATCTGGATTTCCCCAGAATATTGGGTCTTATACTAATTTTTGCTCCAAAAGATGAATAGGGTTTATTTTCATGGGGTATCTTATTTTTCATGTACAAAAATCTACATTTAAAAAATCATGTTGACATAGGGCACCTGACCCGTGGACCTCTGAATAATATAAAGAAAATATTATAACTCCCAACCTGCTAGATGTCTGAAATGCCCAGCTTTGTGTTCTCTAATATCTAAGAATAGTGGCGGTTAAGATGGGGAGAATTTATTGAAAGATACCTTCTATCTAAGAGAAAGGGGTCTGGAAGTGGGTGGTCCACTGACTCCCTGGCCTTCTTGAGGATGTTTTCTTGAGTAAAGCTACCAGGTGAGGAAGATTTAAGGTGGGACAAAACTATAGTCAACTGATAAGATTAAAAGTGCAGGGATTATAGGCATATGCCACTGAGCACAGCATTTTATTTTTGTGGTAGAGTAGATTGAACCCAAGGAGGGTTGTTCTACCACTGAGGTACATCTCTAACCCCTTTTTTTCTTTTGAGACCGGGTCTTGCTAAGTTCCTAAATTGTATAGGGTAGGTTTGAATTTACCCTCTGACACAGGAGAATTCAAGTTGGAGCCCACCCTGGGCAACTTAGTGAGATCTTGTTTCAAAATAAAAAATAAAATGTGTGAGCATGTATGTTAGTTTAAAGACCCAAAGTTTAATCATCGGTACTACCAAAAGGGGGAAAAAAAAAGGCTATACTACAAAACACCACTTTTAGGGGATTATATTTAAATTTTACCTCAGTTCAAACAAAGAAAAGGAATAATATACTGTAGCTCCTTGGAAGAGCGCAGGAAGTTTTGGCTTTGATTTCTGGCACCCATAACAAAACAAACAAAGCTCCCCTCAGCGTCCCTTGATGCTGCCATAAGATCATCTGAGACAGGGTCTCCCTCTGTAGTTCATGCTGGCCTTGAACTTGCAGTGGGTGTGGGGTTACAGCCTGAGAGGGTCATTTACAAAGAAAAGAGATAACTGGGGACACAAAGTTGGGGGCCTGGGTCTTTCCAGGGCCATGTTGCTGCATCATCCCATATTGCCTGCCTGCCTGCCTGCCTGTAGGAGAGGTGGAGAGTAGAGCGGTGGTGTCGCACGCCTCTGAGGCTGAGGCAGGCAGATGGTGAGTTTGAGGCCAGTCTGGAGTACATAGTGCGACCTGTTTCAAAGTACACCGAAAAAGAAAAGGCTGAGCTCACCCTCTCACAATAACAGACTCGCTCCCAAAATAATGATATTTATCCATTCTTGAGAGCAGAGCCCTCTTTATCTAATCAGTTCTTTAATGTCCCCTGTCTCATCGTTGTCACATTTGAGGTTGGTTTTCCAACACATGAACTTTGAGGGACACCTCTCACCACAGCAAGGAGCAAAGTGATTATAGCATGTAGAGTAAATTTCCTGGAGAAGTTCGGTTGTGAAAAGAAACTGAAGGGGATATAGGATCCGATAGAGGGCTTGTTTTTCTATGGTTTGGTTTGGTTTGTGTTTTGCAGTGCTGGGGTCTGACCCCAAGGACTCAAGCATGCTAGGGAAGCCCTGGACCACCAGTGACTCACATCCACTGCCTGGCTTTTTTTTTTTTGGTAGATATGGGGGAATGAAATTAGTGAACATTGAGGACATTTCTCAGGCATACCCAGACCTTACTTCCACTCCTTGCAGTGATGGAGATGGATTATGATTTTTTAAAAAGTTTTTGTGGTGGTTGGGATAGAACAAAGGGCTTCTGCAAGGCAAGTGCTGTTATCACTGAGCTCCATTCCCAGCTCCCAAGAGGGAACTTAATGAGTTCAGAGTGCTGCAGGAATCAGTGATAATGTTTGGTGTTGAAGCCTCTCGGAAAGGTGGCAGTCTGTCTGGTGTGTCGCCCCATCTGTCTTTCTAGTGCAGTGCTGCGCCTGTTGAGTCAGTGAGTGCTGCTCCATCTCACATGGGAAGGGGCCACATGTCTGTCTCCTCCCTCTAACTCTTCTAGAGCTGTGAGTGTAATTTCCTTTCTACTTCTAGGTTGTGACCATTTTGGAGGGAGTACAGATAGGCTTTCTTACTCTCTGGCACAGATTAGTAGCTGAATAAATATATCCTAAGTAGATGTCCATGTGACCTCTGATTAAAATGACCCAGATGTGTTGAAATTGTGAGATTCCTTGATTTAATCTTCCACTAGGCTGTTAACTCCAAAAGGGTAGGAACTCTTGTTTCATTCATTTCTCTATTGTTAGTGACTGGCACAGACTAGTGAAGGATTGAAGGAACTTAATTTTTTTCCATAGTTACAACAGATAAATTCTTCCCTTCAGTTAATGGTTGATAAGGTGGTTTTATTACATGCGCATCTTTATTAGAGCAGGAACATACCTGTATGGCACAACCTCTTTTATGTTGAATATTTCCAGATTTATTCCAACCAAGTTTGGGATTTATTTTTTAGGAAGAAGCATCACCTTACCCATTGGTCAGTACTTGCCTGAATGTCCTGATTGCTAATCTAGAGAAGTTGTGTCCTGAAAGACCTGATGGAACGCTGTGCCTTCCAGAACATTGGAATTTCCCACAAGAAGTAGCTGACCGGTTCCTTGGGATGCTGGCTTGGCAAGGTAATAAGGCTGCTTGTATAGTCTACTCATACATATAATATTCCTTTTCTAAGTGGTGGTGGGGATCAAACCCAGGCCTTTACACTGAGCTACATCCACAGTCCCTTTTTTACTTTTTATATTGAAGTAAGATCTTGCTAAATTGCCCAGGTTGGGCTTGAATTTGCAATATTTTTGCCTCAGCCTCCCACAATGCTGGGATTATAGTTGTGTACCACTATGCCCAGCTTATTTTCTCCTGTTCTACAGATTTTTTATTCTGTTGTTTCTTTTGTTGAACAGTTTTTTCATTTGATGTAAGTCCATTTGCCTATTTTTGCTTTGTTTCTTGTCCTTTTGGGATCTTATCCAAAAATTGCTTGGTCTTTCCAGTGTCCTAAAGCATTTCCACTCTGTTCTTCCAGTAGTTTCGTAATCTCAGCTCTCCATTTTTTTAGTTGATTTTGTAACAGGTAAGAACTGGGTGGGGGGGTTAGTTTCATTTTCTACATGTAGATCTCCAGTTTTCAAATCACTTACCATTTTATTAAAAAAAGACTTTTTAATATTATTGCTAGGGGTTTTTGGTGGGGTGTTCGTTTTGTAATAGGGACCCACTGTATAATCGAAGCTGGTCTTGAACTCACTATGTAACTCAGGCTGGCCTCAAACTGGCTGTCATTTTCTTTTTGTTTTTTGGTTTTGGAGACAGGGTCTTACTGTGTGGTTGACACTGGCCTGGAACTCACTATATAGCCCAGGTTGGTCTCGAACTCATAGCAATCCTCCTGCCTCAGCCTCCTGAGTGCTGGGATTACAGGCGTGTGCCACCTCTCCCGGCAAACTATCATTTTATTTTGCCTTCACCTCCCAAGTTAGCCAGAAGACAATACTTTTTTGATCACTGCAGCTTTGTAGTAGTGCAATGACTCCTGCTTATTCTTTTAGCTCAAAATATTTATGGCTATTGGGATTTTTTTCTGGGAGGATGAAGTTGCTTCTACTTTAATTTCTTTCGTTAGGATTTTATAGTTTACATTCATATTTTACCTCTTTGCTTAAATTTGTTCCTAGGTATTGTATTTCTTTCTTGATTTCTAGTTCAGATAACACATGGTATGTAAAAAGATACTGATTTTTAAATGTTTATTTTTGTATCTTGCAACTTTGCTGAATTTGCGTATTAGTTCTAGTAGTCCCGTGCCCGCGCCCCCCCCCCCGCCAGAGTCTTTAGGGCATGTTTTTGTGATTATGGCGATCACAGAAAATTTTTTATTGCAAAGATTCTAAGTAGGTTTTTTGGGGGGAGGGGTCCTTTTTTGTTAGGTTTTGAGAGTTGCACTAAGTTTCCCAGGCTGTGCTCGAACTTGCCATCTTGCACTACCCTGTCAGAGTGCTGGGATTATAGGCCTCACATAGCATCTGTCCTTGTTCATTCTCACATGGATCTTGAAGAGGTGTGCGATTTAGTAGTCAGTACCAGCTAGTTCTGCTTCTCTTACAGGAAAGCTGACCGATAAGACAGCAAGCATTTTCCAAGGCAACCAAATGAACCTGAAGCAGGTCAAAATCCAGAAAGCAAAAATCTCTGCCACTGCCTTCATTAAATACTTCTGCCATCAGAAGCTCACTGAAGTGGATGCTACTGCAGTACACTCTGACCTTCCAGTCCCAGACATCATACGTGGACTGTGCAGCAGTAGCTGGATCCAGCAAAACCTCCGGTGTCTCCTCCTAGACTCAACAAGTGTCCCTCCCAATTCAAGACCGCTATCCTTTGGTCAGCTCACTGGTCTTCGCACTTTAAGTGTTTTCAATGTTTGCTTTCATAGTGAAGATCTGGCTAATGTTGCTCAGTTACCAAACCTGGAAAACTTGGATATCTCTAATACTCAGGTCACCAACATCTCTGCACTCCTTACCTGTAAGGATCGACTCAGATCTCTCACAATGCACTATTTGAAATGTCTGACCATGACCAAACCACAGGTTTTTGCAGTCATCAGCGAACTTAAATGTCTGCTTCACCTTGATATTTCTGGTCACAAGCAATTCAGGTCAGACCTAGCTTTTCATTTGCTACAGCAGAAGGATATCCTGCCTAATATTGTGTCCCTGGATATTTCTGGGAGCAGTTACATCACTGATAGAGCTGTAGAACAGTTCATACAGCAGCGGCCTGCAATGCAGTTTGTGGGACTCTTGGCTACGGATGCTGGTTATTCTGACTTCTTTACTGCAAAGCAAGGCTTAAAGGTTTGTTCTTATCTAAAACAAGTTTTGTTTCGTTTGTTCAGAACATTATTAAATTCTTACTGTGCACCAGAATCTGTACTATTAGTTAGACATAAAGTCTGTAACAATTATGCACTTACTTTGATAAGTTGTGGGAATATAACATGCCAACTCTCTGTCTGCTAGCTCAACAGTGATAATTACAGCCATGTACATATTATTTTGTATATGACTGACATCATGCTGCCCTCATTGTTTTCTCCTTTAATCCTCCAGTTTTGCAGATGAGGAAAGGGAAGCAAAAGATCTGCTTGGAATCATGTGACTAACTCTTTAGGTAGTAGATTGAGACCTGTATCCATGTTTTTATGATGCTAAAACTTGTACTTTTTACCTCCTATTTAGAGGTAAATAGAGGGTGGAGTAGCTTGGTGATAGATCATTTGCCTGGCGGGCATGAGGCCCTGGGTTGGATTCCCCAGGGTGAGGAGAGAGGCTGAATCAATAAGAGTATGTGGATAGCACTGTTTTTCAACCAAGGTATGACAAAACAGTTTTTAAAAGAGCAGTTAAAAGTGCTTTGAAGTTGGACTTGGTGATGCATGCCTGTAATCTCAGCACTTGGGAGACTTACAAGAGGATCACTTCACGTTCAAGGCCAACCTTGACTACATAATGTACAAAAAAAATTTTTTTTTTGGAAGTTGAGCTTGATGGCACACACAGAATCTCAGCTTTTGGAAGGATAAGGCAGGAGGATAATAAATTCAAAGCCAATCTGGGCTGTGTTAGATGGTGAGACCTGTTTCAATAGCCACCCCTCCCAGAATGGAGCTCAGTAGTAGATCACTTGCTTAGCATACACAAGATCCTGGGTCTGATCCCAAATGCTACAAGAAAAAAGAAATGATAAAAGCAGATCTGGACTCTCCTTGTCCTCTGGCTTCCTGTCTTATCCTGGGATATCTTCTCACATGACCTGCACATTACAGCTAGGAGTACTTTCCAGGGCTGAGTAGGTATGGGTGCCCTGTTCTTGAACATCCATGTCTGTGAGCTGAATAAACCCCTTTTCTTTTGCATTATCCAGCTTCTAGTATTTTTTTACAGCATTGGAAAACCAAAGGCAATATCCAACTACATGTTTTTCTTATACCCAAAATAAGAATGGACAATATGGAATTAATACACTTAAAATGGATGGAAAGGCCACCATTAGTAATAAAAAGCAGGGGATATTCTCATTTGCTGGGAAATGGTACTTGATCATTGATGGGATATAGAAGAATCCCTTCTGAAGATTGTTCTGTAGTGGCATCTGCTGCAGGAAGCCCATGAAAGAGCAGACAGTGCAGAAGCTGTCTGGCATGTCTTGGCATGTCCTTTGTTTCTCTTTCATCTCTTGAAATCCATATGATCGCCACTTTTTTAGTTTAGAATATATCCACTGTTGGTTTGTTTTGTTTTTTTGAGACAGGGTATCACTATATAGTCCAGGCTGGTCTTGAACTTGCTATGTAGCCTAGGCTGCCCTTAAACTTTTGATCATTCTGCCTTAGCTTCCTGAATTGCTGCTATTACAGGTGTGCACTGCTGCTTATTTGTTTTTGTGGTGCTGGGAAATGAACTCAAGATCTCCAGTATGCTAGACAAGTGCTCTGCCACTGAGCTGTTCCACAGCCCACCTCTCTTTTTGTGATGCTGGTTATCAAATCTTGTCAAACAAGTGTCCTTACTACTGGGCTGCACTCCCAGTCTCATTATTTAATATATTCAATAATATTTATATATATATATTGGATTGAACTCTGGTCCTTGCGCTTGCAAGGCAGGCCACCGAACCGCTGAGCTAAATCCCCGGCCCATTCTTTTCTGAACTAACTTTTCCTGTGATAGTTGCAAAGTGAGCTTTATCAGTTCACATTCTATTCCTTCTCCATCTCTCTGTTCAACCTACACTTACTACGGACTCGGACTCGTTGATTCCTGTGGCTTTCAGTACTATATAATTCATATGTCCTTAATTGTTTTGGTGGTCAAATTGTCTCATATTGGCTAATAAGAGCTCCTCCAAGCTGGCTCCTTTGACTTTTTTTCTCTTTCCTTTGGTGGTGCTGGGGATCAAAATTAATATTTTTTTAATTAAATTAAAATGTTCAATGTATAGCTGTAAGGTCCATTTGGTGTATCTTGTTTAGAGGATGTCTTTTTGTCCACTTGATCCATCTTATACTAAAAGTGTTGTGTTTGAGTCTCCTTGCAATTCCTGTGATGTCTGTTTTATGTAGGTGTTTGTGGTGTTTGAAAAGGCTTTTGTAATCATCCTATTGCTATTGTGAATTTTAGGGGTTTTTATCACCAGCATTTATAAGGTTTTGGCTTTGTCTTGCCTGAATCTTGAATTATACATTTTCTGATATAAGATTGCCCTTTTATTTTTGTGCTTCTTTAATTTTTTTGGTACCAAGGATCAAACGCAGGACTTTGTGTTTGCCAGGCAGGTAGGTGGTGAAACCACTGAGCTAAATCCCTGTCCCTATTTTTATACTTTTAAAATCACTATTTTATATGGTCTTATTGCATATAGTTGGAGTTTGATTTTTGAGCCAATTAAATTTTTTTTAATGAATAAATGATAAAACGCATTTCTTGGCATCACTGATACATGTGGCCTCTATTCTGCCATATTTTTTATTTTTTTATTTTATTATTTTTTGAGATGCAGTCTCGATATCTTGCCCAGGCTGGCCTTGAATTCCTGGGCTCAAGTGATCCTTCTACCTCAGTCTCATCAGTCCTGGAAGTACAGGAATGCCCCACCATGCCTGACTTACTTATTTTTGAATTGTGATTGAACCTAAGGCTTTTGCACTGAGTATATCCCACCTGTTTTGTTTTGGTTTGGTTTTTGGTGCTAAGGCTCAAACCCAAGACCCTCGGGTATGCTGGGGAAGTGTTCTATCACTAAGCTACAGTTGTAGTGCCTAGGACTTTTAGTGTTGAAGTTTTCTTGGATGATGGTTTCAAATAGTTAATTTTTGCTGCAAAAACTTCAGTTGTAAGAATGTTGGATCTTCATTGTTCTTCCATTTTTTACACTTTTCTTTTGAACTTTCTTGTTTCTCTGTTTTTCCTACCTTTGTTACATTTTCATTGAAGTCTATCCTTCCTGGAATACCTTGTAACTTATTCTGACTATTCAGTAGGGTTTTTATCTTTTTCTTTCCTGAGTTAGTATACTTTTGTTTAATCTCTTTGATTTTTGTGTTTTTTTTTCCATATACCAAAGTACATCTTGAGACTAATTAAGATTGAAATACTTTGTTGTAATTTTCCTTTGTTTATGGGAAGACTTTTTCTTAGCTGAAATGTGTAAGGTTTTATTTTTTAATTTCTTCTGGTGGTTTTATATAGAATTGATCCGGGTCTTATTTCTTGATATCTAGTTGACAGGGTTCCTAATTTAAAAGCACTCTTGTCAGTTTAGTCAAGTGAAATTTCATCAAGAAATGATGATGTTATTAGTTATGGTAGGATAGAGAATGGGGTTGATTTTATTTTGACTTTGTAGGGTCCTCCTCCTCCTACCCATTGCCATTGAAATCTTCTTTTTCACTAATCATAAATCTGAAAACTGGGTCATGTCTAATTTTGTTTAAATATTTTTTTATTTTTATGGTTTGGAAAGAAGATACAGGGAGAGAATTTTGGGACCAGTAGGGGTGATTTGGATTTAGGAGATTACTGCTACCTTTCAGACCCAGTATTTATATAGACTGTTTCAAGTGTGTACATCAGTGACAGAGGAAAAATTATAATGTCAAACACGTAAAGAACTTCTAGTAATAGCTACTTTTTTCATATTATCTTATAAGGCCTTTTCCATGTCTTTTTATGTAATTTTTCCTGTTTGAGTACTTAGAAAACATGCATTCGTAATTATTGATTGTTGAAAAATTTACATGTTACTCATTTAGTTGAGGTCTTAACAGTAATGTTACAGGAAGATGTTACTATATTTGATCCTGCTGCCGCCACTTGATTGCTTAAATTAGCAACACACTTTACTTCTCTGGACACATGGGTATATGTGGGGTTAATGAAAGAATTGACCTTTTAGAATTATATCTAAATGAAACCTGCTGGGCATGGTGGCGCACATTTATAATCCCAGCACTTCGGAGGGTGAGGCAGGAGGATTGCTTCGAGTTCAAGACCAGCCTGGACTACACAGTGAGTTCCAGGGCAGTCTGAACTACATAGTGAGACCCTGTCAAATCAATCAATCAAGCAAGCAAGCAAGCAATAAGAAACTTGTGAATAATCTGAACACTTAATTGTACACATTAATATTGTTTCAAACCCCACAGGCTCAAAAAAGACTACTTGGGGGATAACCAGTGAAACCTATTAGGACTGTGTTTTTTCAGGTTGCTGGAGGAGCCAATATGAGTCAGATTTCTGAGGCACTGAGCCGATACAGGAACAGGACATGTTATGTGAAGGAAGCTCTCTACAGACTCTTCGCAGAAACGTTTTCAGTACATGTAACCATGCCTGCCATATTAAAGGTAATTGCATCTCTGATAGGCAGTGTTGACTACTGCATGCATCTTACTTAGTTCTATTAAAAATTATTTACCAGACATACTAAAGTAACTTCAGTCAGTGCCTTGTTCTGTAGTGAGTCAAGTGCGCTCATTAAGAAATGAAATCAGTTTTGGCTTTACCAGATTGGCTCTTGCTTTGTGCATCTGAATTTATGTGAGGAGTTAGGGATTTAGCTTAGTGATAGAGTGCTTGCCTACTATGGACAAAGCTGTGGATTTATCTCCTAACACTGCCAGGGAATAAATATGAGTTAAGAATTTGGTTTGAGAGTGGATGGTTTATATCTAGATGTTCTCCCAAAGCCTTGTGCTCATAGGTGCCTTTGGGAGGTGATTGAATTATGAGGACTAATACAAGGGGAGGTGTGTCACTCACTGGGGATGTAGCCTGAAGGGTCTGTCCAGCCCTCTTTTTTGTTGTTGTTTTTCAACAAGAGTCTTGCAGTGTAGTTCAGGTGGGCCTTGAACTCACTTGTAGTCTAGGCTGGCCTCAAACTTGTGGCAATCCTCTTGCCTCGGCCATCTGAGTGCTGGGATTTGGGTTGTGTGCCACCACACCTGGCTCTTCCTCCTCTCTTGATGGCTCTCTGCTTCCCGTCTGCCATTCCATGAACAACACTCCTCTACCATGCTGCCTGGCCTTGGAGCCAGTCAACCATGGACTGAAATTTCTACCAACTGTGAGCCCAAACAAACCTTTCCAGTAATTCGTGGCTGTTAGTATTCTGTGTCAGCACTGAGAAAAGAAGTAAGACAGGTATTGGTACCAGAAGTGGGGTTATTGCTGTGACTACCTGACCATGTGGTTCAGAAGAAGCCTTTGGAACTGGCTCTCACAGGAGGAGTTTGGAAAAGTTTGAAGATGCCACCCTAGGATGCCATAATCTGAGTTTGATGATGATTCTGGTTAGAGCTCAGAAGACCAGAATGCTTATTTTTAAAAGCAGATGGAAAAGACCAGGCATTGGTCTTTGTTTAGTTTTTGGAGTTTTTTGTTTGTTTTTATGTCTGCATTTGCTTCTAACCTGAGATTTTGAGGGAGATTTAGTTTAAGAGAAGCAGACTAATTAATCTAGCAGAGGAAATTTTAAGGCAGTCAAATGTTGAAACTGGCTTGGATACTTACTGTTGAAGACTTTTAGCCAGTTCTCCCCTGAGAATCCGGAGCAAGAGGCATAGGCAAATGATTTAACATGTTCACATTGGGGCTGTAATTTCTATGTCTTGCTGCCAGTGGCTCTGTTTTGAATTGACTGCCCCATCAGGCAGCTTGAACTACTTCTCAGGGAATCTTTAATTATAATAATGCAAAGAAAGATATTGATTTAGCAAACCAGATGTCATCATATTACAGTTCCCAAGGAAAGCATTTAAGTGGTATAAGAAAATTGTAATACAACATATTTGTGGCACAGCAGTGTGTATTATGTATACTGGGAATGGTATACTCGTAAGATCTTCATGTTAACGGATAGAAAATTAAATTTTTTTGTTTTTTGAGACAGGAGTCTTACTATATAGTTCATGGTGGCCTTGAACTCACTATATAACTTATGTTGGGCCTTGAACTCGGTCATCTTCCTGCCTCAGCCTCCAGAGTGCTGGAATTACAGGTGTGTTGGTGGCAAGAATTAATTATTGATAAACTATTAACTCAAGAAGAAATGCAATGGGCACAAATTACTTGAAAAAGCGTTCCTTTATAAAAGTTTATTTAGATTGGCAAGAAATGGGCTTTAGTTCAGTGATGCCACCACCTGCCTCACAAGCACAGGTTCAATTTCTGGTACCAAAAAAAAAAAGTGGCAGGAAATGCACACAAGTAGACAGTTAACTGAAAATTATCTGAAAAAAATAGGTGCCTCTGTGGCCACAAAAAAAGCCAAACAGGGCCAGGGATTTAGCTCAGTGGTTCAGTGGCCTGCCTTGCAAGCGCAAGGACCTGAGTTCAATTCCCGGTACCAAAAAAAAAAAAAAGCCAAACACATTATGACATTTTTGTGCACTCTATACAAATCAGCCATCTTTATATAAAATGTTTCTTGAAAATTCACAAATATAGATAAACTAATTGAATGAAATAAATTTGTCAATTATTGTGATAATTTTAATTGGAGTAGTATTAATAATTTATATTTGGGCAGTAATTTCAGAGTCAAGAAATTAACTGAATACAGTCCATTTATAGACTTTTTATTTTATTATTAAAAAGACCAAACCACCTGATCGGACAGTTGTGCATTTACCATAGGTGGTTCGAGCTGGTGGGAACATGTTAGAAAGTGCTGAGTTTGGCCAGAAAGGAAGCTCAGGTAAAGTTGGAGCAAAGGAGAGCTTTGGTTGCTGAAATCAAGAAGCCCAATCAATGGTTTTATGCAGGAGAGTAGGAAAAATGGCTCAAGGGCATCTCTGAAGCAGCAAGATCCCTCACTTAGCAAGCTCAAAGGGTGCAAGGGTGAAAGACTGCTTTGAGAAGAGAGCTCCAGGGCAATCTGTTGGAGAAGAGCCTCCTAGAGATAGAGAATTGATTCCCCAGGATTTAGTGTACCTGCTTAGCCATCCAGACACTCCAGGCCTCTGCAACCACCAATAAGATGCAGAAGGGCTCAGCTACTGCTCCAATTGGCAGCATAACCTGGCATCTTCCACATGCTGCTGGTTTTACTGTGGGGTCAGGAAGGCTTTTACCCAGGTTTCAGAAGGCTTTGGAGGCCAGGCAGTGTGCCCCAAAAGTGCAGTGGAGACCCCACATGGTCCATTGTCTGAGGAAAGCTGCAGGGAATGAGCAAAGCCAGCCCAAGAGAGAAGCCACAGGAGCTACAACCACTGGCAGGATGGGGCCACCAAGCCCTTTGAAATTCACATCTCACCACGGTGTATCCAGGTTTGCTGGACACGGAACTATGGGATTTAATGTTTGCCCTACTGAATTTTGGTCTTGCTTTGGTCTCATTTCTTTCTATCCTCCTATTTCTCCCTTGAAATGGGAATGTTTATCCTGTGCCTTTATATGTTGGCAGTATTTACCTTTCTTTTGATTTTTACAGGGACTCACAGCTAAGAGTTTGCCCTAAATCTCCAGAGAGACTTTGGACCTGGACTTTTCAACAATGCTGAAACTGTTAAGACTTTGGCATCTTGTAGAAATAAACTAAATGTATTTTGCGTTTAGAGGTGCATGAGTGTTTGGGGGACTGGAGCAGAATGTTACTGTTAATGACTAGATGTCTCCCCAAAATCTTGTGCTTATTGGTGAGGCTTTTGGGAGGTGATTTGATCATGGGGGATAATCCACTGATGCATTTCTAGCTAAATGTACTGTTGGGAGGTAAAGCTGATTTGAGAAGAGATAGGTCATTGGGGGTGTGCCCTGTGAGGGTCTGTCTCCTTCCCTCCTCCATTGTGCTCTCTGTTTCTCCCCTCTTCTTGTCTGCCATGCCATAGCAACCCTCCTCAGTCATGCCCCTCTGCTCTGCTGCCAGGACCGAAACCTCTACAAACTGAGCCAAAATAAATTTTTCCTCCTTTAATTTATGGATATCAGGTATTATGTCTTAGTGATAAGAAAGTAAGACAGAGGAGGATCACTGTACTATTTTGTCTGAAGTAGGACTTACACATTTTTTTTTAATCAAACTCAGGACCTTGTGCTTGCAAGGTAGGCGGTGGAACCACTGAGCTAAATCCCAGACCCCCTTACACATATATACATATGAATTCATTTTGCTTCTTTATATATTCATTAATTCCTAAAAAAATTCTAACATCTGATTTTGTTTTTTAATGGTGCTGGGTTCAAATTCCAGACATCAAAAAATATTTTCAAAGATTTGAAGATGCTGCAACTGAGAGCTCTATTCCCACATCCTAAAATCTCATTTTCTGAATGAAAATGAAAACAATAAAATCACTTGAAGGTGGCCAAATCTAATATTTAAAGTGTATTGTGGCTGGGTGTGGTGGCATGCGCCTGTAATCCCAGCACTCGGGAGGCTGAGGCAGGAGGATCGCTGTGAGTTTGAGACCAGCCTGGGCTACATAGTGAGTTCCAGGGCAGTCTGAACTACTACATAGTGAGACCTTGTCTCAAAAAACAAACAAAAAAAGTATATTTTGCATAAAATAAAGTTGCTAGTTTTGATATAGCTAGTCTTTGCATTGGTTTAGGGAAAAGTATGTTTATTGTATTTGTTTATTTTTGGTATCAGAGATTGAACTCGAGACCTTACATTTGCGAGGCAGGTGATGGCACCACTAAGCTATGAATCCCCCGGCCCCATGTTTATTTTAAATATAATCAAAAGTATTTAGTAGTTTGGGAATAGGGAACTCAACTCCATTTATTGATTTTATTCATTTTTCTTTTAAGAAAGTGTGTTTTGTTTTTGTGGTGCCGGAGATGAAATGTAGGACCTCTTACGTGATAGGCAAACATTCACTCACTGAGCTACATCCATGATCTTGTGTGTGTTTGTATTTTTTTAAAGTTATGTAAAATTAAACATGAAAATGAAGCATTTAAAATTTTATTATTTGTAATATTCTGCAATTCCTTAAAAATGTGACAGAACTGGGGTGGTAGCTGAGTAGTAGAGCACTTGCCTAACCTCAAGAGACCCTGAGTTCCATTCCCAGTACCACACACAATAAAAGGCTATTTCTGTAGCATAAGAAATTAAACTTATGGGCTGGGGATTTAGCTCAGTGGTTCCTGTGGCTACTTCACAAGTGCAAGGACCCGAGTTCGATCTCCAGTACCAAAAAAAAGAAAAAAGAAATTAAATTTACTTACAATTCAAACCCAATACCGTGGCCAGGCATGGTAATGTATTCCTGTAATCTCACCTCTTTGAGGAGGCTGAGGTAGGAGTATTGCAAGTTCAAGCCCAGCATGGACAATTTAAGGAAGACTCTGTCTCAAAATAAAAGTGGGAGGTAGGGGATATAGTCGAGTGCAGAGGCACTGGGTTCAGTCCCCAGTACCATCCAGAGAGAAAGGGAGGTAAGAGATTTTAGTCATGATTCATGGCAATATCAGTAGAATGGTCTCAGAGGTGATCTCTGTTTTGTAGAGGATGAAATGGATCATGGTGTCCCTCAGTGTTGAAGTAAGAATCTAAGCTTATAACCATACCCTCGTTTTGCATTTGTTTCCTGGGTTTTCCATAGTTTTGCCTCAATATTATCTAATGTTATATTTTACTACAGTACTTTTCAGATTCTTCTGTTGGTGGATTCACTCATCTTTTGGTCTGCCTTATGTTTTTTCTGTCACACTTTCCTTCCCTAGGAGTCCCCTCCTTTCTACCCCATCTCTGTCTGCTCCTATCAAAACACTCTGCCTGGTGTGCTTTCTGAGTGATTCCTAACTGGAATGACCTGAACGATAGCACCCTCTAACTACCTCAGACAGTTGTTTTACCCATACCTCTTTGATGGGGGCTGTTACCAGTTTAATGTTTAGACATCTCTCACAGTGTTGTTTTGCGTGCCTTGTTTTCCTTACAAGGTTTTCTACGAATGTTTGGTCTGCTGTAGCACCTTGAATAGAGTGAGGTGCAATAAATGATTATGAAAATTAATTTTACAGATGAGATAGAGATAGAGAAGGGAAGTAACTTGCCTAGTTACATAGATGGTTTCTGGCTGCATTTAGATAAGGAGGTGTTACTGCAATACCTTGATGTCCTAAAGAATAAGTGCTGAGGGTAGGGAAAATCTTTCATTGAGCAAGTATTTGTGTCACTGAAAACAAACACAAGACTGTATAAAGAATAATGTTCTCATGTGCCACTAAATAAAAGTTTATCTTCAGCTTGTAGCTGTAGGAATGAGGAATCATCCTTCGGATTTGACAGTGCAATTCACAGCCAGTGCCTGTGCCCTCAATTTAACGCGCCAGGGCCTCGCCTGGGGGATGCCTGTGCGTCTGTTGTCAGAGGTCACCTGTCTGCTTTTCAAGGCTCTGAAAAATTTCCCCACTTATAGACAGGTAATTTGAGTTGAATATACTTGTTTGTGCTTTTTACCCATGTGAAAATATGTAGGGCTGGGTATTTAGCTCAGCGGTTCGGTGGCCTGCCTGCCTTGCAAGCGCAAGGACCCAAGTTCAATCCCCGGTACCAAAAAAAGAAAAGAAAATATGTAGTTAGGATTTTCTTTTTCCGTTCTAACACAGAGAGACAAAATAGATAAGGAATTCATATTTGTTAGAGGAAATATGAATAAGCAGTGAGGTTTAAAAATTTCAAACTCGTAAACCAGTTACCCAGAAACATCTTTTTTATTTTGTGTGGGTTTTGTTTCTTTTATTGTTTGTTTGTTTTTTTGTAGTGGGGACCAAACTCAGGACTCCTTGCTTGCGAGGTAGGTGCAGCACCACTGAGCTAAATCCCTGGCCCCAGCAACATCTTTTAACAATTTATATATCCTTATGGTCTTAAAAATCTTGACCCTAAGTACATACATTAAAAGATTGAGTGGAAACCCAGATCTATTTATAAAAGATAAAACCATAAAACTTTTAGAAGAAAACATAGAAAATATCTTGACTGATGCTAAGCAGTTATTTTAGGATACAAAAAAGAACCCTACATATATTTATACACACACACACACACACACACACACACACCCACACCCACACCCACAACTGGAAACCATGGCACATGCCTATAAGTCCAACTTCTTGGAAGACTGAGGCTCAGGGATTACAAATTCTGTCAGCCTGACAGATTATTAAAACCTCATCACAATTTTAGAAAGGGGGGTAGACATGGTGGTGAATGCCTGTAATCCCAGCACTGAGGGAGGCTGAGGCAAGAAGATCTCAAGTTTGAGCCCATTCTGGGCAACTTAGTCATTTAGAACCTGTCTCAAAGTAAAGGGCTGGGATAGAGGCACTGGGTTCAACCCTCAGTACTGCAAAAAGAAGAGGAGCTGGAGATGTGTGTCATTGGTAGAGCCTGGCATGCATGAGGCCTGGATTTCATTTGCCCGCACTTTAGTGGCGTACCCGGGTAGTCCATGAAAACTAAAGGCTGTTGGTATACACGCCAAAAAATATTTTCAAAGGTTTGAAGATGCTCAATACTATGATGAAATACTGGAACTCCTAGAGATCATTATACCATTCTTAAATTGGCTAAATATTTAAAACTTGGCCGTAGTAGGTTATGCAACAACTGAAATTTTTTTGGTGGTGGGGGTTATTGTCTGAGATGGTCTCATTATGTAGTTTAGACTGGTCTTGAGATCACTATGTAGTCCCTGGCCTCTTAACTCATGATCCTCTTGCCTCAGCCTCCCAAGTGCTAGTAATCTCAGTGTGCGCCACCATGCCAAGGCTGAAATTCTTACATTGATTGTAAGAATGTAAAGTGGTACAAGAACCAGTTCAACTAGTAATTTCTTCAGAAGGAAAATAAACACTTCTATACCCAGTCATTCTGTATCTTGTTATTTGTGGGAAAGAAACAAAAGCTTGTTTTTATATAGACGTATACTTGAATTTTCATAGTATCTTTATTTCTGATTACAAACAAAAAAACTGCACTTATCCTAAATATACAATAACAGATGAATAAACAAATTGTGATATATTTATACAAGAAATGATATTTGGCACTGAAGGGATGGCATACTGATCCCTACAACATAGATGAATTTCAAAAACATTTGCCAAGCAAAATATGATGTCTTTTATGTGAAACTTTAAAATCAGACTTTAACAATGTAATTTCCTGGAATTGGGGCTTGAAAGTTGGGATTCCCCAGAAAGACCCTCAATGAAACTTTGGGGGTAATGGGAGTGTTTTTAGACTTGACTGTGTTGCTGGTTAAACAGGTGAGTAAACTTGTCAGCTCTAATTAAAATGTATACTTAAAATGTGAGTTGATTTTTTAAAAATAGAATAAGGAAGGCCCTTAGAAAAGTCTTTTTTTGTCTAGTCTTGGAAAGTTGCAAGATCTTGCACACCCAGCCTTCGTTCTTTCTAGCATGGCAGGCGTCAGTTTTAGGATTAAATGAAAAACTTGGAGAAGGCAGGCTGTAAATAATAATAGCTCACTGGTAGCACCATTAAAGTGCTTAGAATTTGTTTTTAGAATGAAGTGTTCCATTTACTCACAATTTCTTTTATTCTCTAAAAGTTACAGAAGAATTGTCTTCTCTCCTTGACCAATTCCAGAATTCTTATGGATGTTCCATTTGATAGGCAAGTATAAATAAAACTTGGTCATTGAATGGGCTGTTGACCAGTATTAATTACTCTGAGCATTATTGGTTTTTGCCTATCAACAAGGGCCTGATTAAGGCTGAGTAAGGTATTGGGGAGAAGCCACTGTCTTGGGCCTCTTCCGCAGAGATGCTTGAAGAAGTTCTAGTAGTAGATGTTCTTCCCTGGTATGATTCTAGTGCCTGGCGGTGGGTAAGAACATGTGTTCCAGAGAGTCACACATAGATTCAAGTTCTAGTGCTTCATTATCTTTGCACATAAGTCTTCCTTATTTGTAAAGTAGTGACTCTTGGTTTCTTGTTTGTTTCCTTTCATAGTACTGTGAATTGAACTCAGGACCTTCTCACTGAAGTGCATCCCCAGCCCTTTGGTTTTTAAGAAGGTTCTGAGTCATTAAATTGACCAGGCTGGTGTCAAACTTGTACTCCTCCTGCCTCATCCTCCCAGAGTGCTGGGATTGCGAGATTGTGCCACCATGCCTGGCTCATAGACTCTTAGAGAATTAATTACATGTGATGATAAAAATATCTGCAACAGTGCCTATTTTAAGTATTGGCTTTTCTAACAAATCTCAGCCATTTTTCATTTATTATTTGACATTAATTGATTATTAATGCTAATTTTTAAAATCATCCTCTACATTGCATAGGGATCCCTCTTGTGACATTTGTAAGCTTTGATTCCTCAGTTTAAAGCATGTATAATGTACTGCACTAAGCACAGAAATTTAGCACAAACTGAGAGCCGAGCTCCTCATTGTGGGTGCAGGGTTGGCTGTAGCTGAAGCCACGCTAGCTGAGTGCCTGCTGTGGTGTTTGACACCATCTACAGTTCGGTTTACATATTGCTGCTGCTGTGGGGACTTCCTCTCTAGGGCTGGGGATTTAGCTCAGTGGTTCTGCCGCCTGCCTCACAAGCGCAAGGTCCTATGTTTAATCCCTGGCTACCATCACTGCACCCACCCCCCAAAAAGAATTAATGCTAAAATTTTGAAATTTTTCTTAGATCTGCTGATCTTGTATATTATTATTTTTAAACATTTTTTTTTTCTTTTTGCTGGAGATCAAACCCAAGGCCTGGCACATGCTAGGCAAGGGGTTTCCCACTGAGCCACACCCCACCCTGCTCACAGTGTCACAAACTTCTTGTCATTGTGAATGAAAGGAATTCTGCTTTTCAGGTTGAATGCTGCCAGGTTTGTCTTAGGATGGCTCTTCAGGAACGAGAACCCCAAGGTCCGGACCATGGCAGTAAGCATCGTCTCCATCCTCGCCCTTCAGGTACGTGGCACTCACAGCCAGGGCTGCTGTCTCCTGACGGAGCTGGGATGTTAAACCTGTGGCTTTCTGTTTGTTTTCAGCTGTCGCGTGAGCAGGTCACACAACTTCATGAAGATCTCTTTATGGCAATCAAGGTGGGATGAGTTGATAATCACTTAAAAAAAAAGTGCTTTTAATTCATGTAATTGAAGAAATTAAATCATTGTAAAAAGTATTCAAATGAAAAATCTGTACGACTTGCTGCTCCTTGACGAAGCTTTCTACTCTTAGAGCTATTTAACTCCATGTTTATTTAAAAAATATTTATTCTGAAGTTCTTTATTTACTAGTTTTGGGTGTTAAGTACTGATTTTATTTAACAGTAAATACAAACTTAGCTGTCCTATGTATCTTTTTGTAATTTTCTATTTTCCCCGGTTCCCAACAAATTGAAATGGATTTAAATCAATATCATTTAATTAGGATCATGCAAACATTGCTTACTAACAAAAATGCATCATGGTTTTATTTTGCATTTCTCTTAATTTAGAAGAATTTGAGCCTCCTTTTAAAGTTTCTTTTCAGTGCTGGGGATTGAATGGAAAAGCCTCATGAGTGCTAAGCATGTGGCCTACCACAGCCCTGAGCCACACGCTATGTGCCTGGCTCTTTTTCTTCTCTCCCTCTCTTTCCCCTCCTCACAGGGTCTCTGCTCTGCTGCCTAAGCTGATCTCAAGTTCTTGGTCCTCCTGGCTCCCAAGTAGCTGAGATTTCAGGCATGTAAAGTCATTACAGGCTTTTAAGTTCATTTATATTTCATGCTAACTGTGTATTCATGGCCCTTATACTATTTCTTTTGGGTTCTTGTCCTTTTTCTGATCTATAGGATTTTTTACTTATTAAGGAAATGAGCTTTTCACTTTTATTTTTTGCAGTGCTGGAATTCTGACCCAGAAACTTAGAATTGGTAGGCAAACATTCTATTACTACCATTGAGCTGCTTCCCCAGTCCTGTTTTTGACTATTTTTTATGTATTTTTTTTCTCAGTTTGCTGTTTTATCTATTTTTACTTTGTTTATAGCATGTTTGACCATGTCAAACCCTGAGGTTGAATTTTTTCTTTTATGTTTCTGGGGTCAGTGGCACACATAGAAAGTATTTTCCTGTTTTGTAAAAAAATTTTTTGAACTTTCTTAATATTTTTAATCTATGACTTCTTTCTTTTTGGGGAGTGTGTTCAGGATTGAACCCAGCACCTACCACATGCTAGGCAAGTGCTCTGCCACTGAGCTACATCCCTAGCCCTTTTTCTTAAATGTAAATATTTATTTGGATTTTTTTTTTTTTTTTCCTGTGAGGCTTTCTCTCGTTTGTTTGCCCATGTGCCAGTCTTCTGGAAACACCCTCACTGCTCCCTAGGCATTGTGCAGTCCAGTCAGGCTCGCTCTCAGAATTAACCACCATAGGCCTGTATTTAATTTTTCTTCTCCGTGTGTTTCTACTTGCCTCTGCACCCTGTGTTGAAGTTTTCTTCTCTCCACTGTTAATGCAGTCATGCCTTTATCATATATTTTTCCTAATACATTTGCATATGTTTCTGAACTTCATTCTGTTCCATTAAGTTATGACTACTTTCTAATTTTATAAATACTTTAATATGTAAAATCTGTAGTTTCTTTTGCTTATCTGTTTTATATGTCCAACAACCAGAATTGGCTTGTCTAGTTCTAAGAAAAAATTTTGTTTTCATTCTGTTGTGTTAAATTTATAGATTGACTTCAGAAAATTAACATCCAGTGATGTTGATTTTTCTCTAAGAATAGAGCACATTTTTCCATTTATTTAAGTCTCATGTACCCCAGAAGAATGTAGAAATTTTCTTCACATTTTTGTTGTATATTTGTAACATTTATTCCACGACTTTTTACCTTTTGCATTGCTGTTATGAGTGGAATATTTTGAGTATTTGGTGTTCAGCCAGTAGGTTTATTCTGTTCCTTTAGTTTGTATATCTGTTTTATAACAATAGAAACCAAGAAAGATTTTGGACATGTTAATTTCTGAGGACATGTTAATTTCTGAGGTGCTTGAGATGACAAGAAAGCAAATTGATATGTGGGATAAAGACTGTTGAATTTGCCAAGATAGGAGTTGAGTCATTAGACACTTTGCTTATTTTAGTAGTGAGGAAGGCCAAAATCTGATTAGAATAGGATGATGAGTAATTGGGAAACTTAATACATTTTAATGAGAAGGAAGCAGAGAAATACATGTGGTTAGAATATTTTTGTAAGAGGGATTACATTAAGGCTCTTTTGGTTTGGGGGATGATACTGAAGAGTGAACACAGGACATTCACACTAAGCTACATCACCAGCCCTTTTTTATATTTATGATGTGCTGTCTTGACACATCCTGTCCTGATTAAGCATAATGTTTAAGGGGATCTCATTGTTTCTGATAAAAACTATATTCAAGTATTTCTGTATCTTCACATGAGCTTGTTCAGTGAAAATGACTGTCTTTTTAACCTGTCACATGTTGGTGTTAATATGCCTGAAAGAAGCCATAAATACTAGCTTGATTTGTCCAGAAATAGTCTCTCATCTAAAAATGGCAATTTTCAGACTCTGATTAAGTAAGCCAGAGGTTGCTCCAAGATGTGAGGCCACTTTGCTGGAGCACTGGTGTTGTGGCCTGGAGCAACAGGTGTTCTTCCCCAATGTACTGCCTTGTTCCCCGTTCTTACCTGTCTAGTGTGTTCCTTTCCTTCTGGTTTCAGTTTGCATATTACCTTTATATATAGACTTCCTATCCCACTCTCCCTAAATCCTTCATTTAAGCTTTTATGTATTTCTTTCAGGACATTTCCCAAAACATAAATTCTTTCATTTAGTTGTGAAAAACTAACTTTTTCTTTGTCATTGTTCTCTTAGGTGAGTGAATACCTGACTTGCAGAGAGCATTGAGTGAATGTTCTCAATCAATAAAAAGTGGAAGAGCTAATGATAATAAGCTTTATTAGCAATCCAGAATTTACCCAAGTGCTCACTAAACTTTAAATCTGGTTTGGTTTGGTTTTTATTCTGCATTGCTAGAGATCAAACCCCGAGACTCCTTGTATGTACATACTAGACAAGTGCTGTATTGCTGAGCTACACTCAGCCCCAGAACCAGATTTTGGGTTTTTATGTTTTCAATTAATTATAAAAACTGAAAGATAGGTATGATTTATTTTATAGAAAGAAAATAAATCAGAGTATTAAGTGATACAACTTGAGTGTGGTTCTAAAGCTCTTCGTAACTTTGCTTGCCTTAAACTAGAAGTTAGTCATGAGGACATCTAATTCTCTCTCTTTGGTTTTTAGGAACTTCTAGCAATAGTAAAACAAAAGACTGCTGAGAATTTAGATGATCCCACCCTTTTGTTTTCTTTGAAAGCACTTTGGAATCTTACAGATGAGTCTCCAGCTACCTGCAAGCATGTTATGGAAAATCAAGGATTGGCGATCTTCATCAAAGTTTTAGAGGTGGGAATACGGGATTGAGTTCATATGTGAAACTCTTCCCTTCATGAAAAAGTAACCTGTGTGTTCTTTTGACAGACTTTTTCAGAGTCCACAATACAAAGCAAAGTACTTGGTCTTTTGGTAAGGTGAATTGTTTTAAATTAATTTTCATTACTTACAGGCAGCTAATAGTAATGTACCTACTATGTGCTGGGCACTCTTGGAAGCAATTTACACATATATACTCATTTAATCTTCACATTATCTCCATAAATATCACTATATCAGTCTTTATCAGATAAATCAGTTACCTATTTCTGTGTATAAACTACAGCTTAGTGGCTTAAAACAGTAGCCTTTCTGTTAAGCCTGTGGGTCACCAGTTTGAGTTCACCTCAGCTCCACAGTTCTGCTGGTCCCATGTAGGGAGACTCGTGTGGCTGCAGTCACCTGATGGCTCAGGAGGGACCAAATGCTCTGAAGTGGCCTGACCATTGTACAGATCCTGGTGGTCAGCTGAGCCTTGTGTCTCCATGAACTTCCTCCTGTGGTAGTCTTGGAACAGCTAGTGGGCAAGTACAAGTGCTTTTCCAGTCTCTGCTTATGTCACATTTGCTAACGTCTTGTTGGCCTGAGCAGGTTACGTGGTTCAGCCCAGATTAAGGCCATCCTTGATGGGTGGAACAGTATAGTCACGTTGCTAAGTGGCATATGCACAGGGATAGGAAAAATTGTATTATTATTGTCCACATTTTGTAGGCATGGAATTTAAGGCATAGAAATACTTGTTATCTTAAATTAGCCAATTAATAATAAGAGACAGAATCAGAATTCAAACTCAGGCAGTCTGGCCCAGGCCCTCTGATATTAGCCACTTCACTATACTTTCTCTTTGTCAAGGTAGTCACTGTTTAGAAATTTCTTTGTTCATAAGTGTTTACTACCTTTCAATCAGAATACTTGATAATTGGGAAGTTTGTTTTCCCTTTTTTCAAATTTGGTACCGGGGATCGAACTCAGGTCCTTGCAAGGCAGTCGGTGGGACCACTGAGCTAAATCCTTGGCCCTGGGAAATTTGTTTTCTAAAGATAAAGATTTTTTTAAAATAATGAAAACATACTGTAAGCACCTGCAGTATGCCATGTTCATAGATCCATATCATAGATCAAGCTGATGGTCCTTGTAACTTTGCACAGGTGGTGTTAGACCTACTAAACAGGTAGCTAAGGTTATATCCTGTATGTGTTAAAAGAGGCCAAGTCCAGTGGGAGGTTTTGCTTCTTGATCATGAACTCCTGCAAAAGGATTTGTGAGGCAGGTGGTGGAACCGCTGATCTAAATCCCTGGTCCCTGAAAATGAGGATTGTACCTAATCCTTTTCGTGAACCTATCAAATATAGTACTTAGAACACAGCACATGTGAAGCTCTCACAGGAATAAATGATTGATGTTAAGAATCTGGGCTGTATAAGGAAGGGATGAAGGTGGGGGCAATGTAAGTGTAGTTATGTGAAGAACACTGTAGAACAGAGTAGTTGAAATTCTGGGAGAGGGTGGTAAAGAGAAAAGCAGTGGGAAATGATGCCAGAAAACTACAATACAATAGAAGATCTACTTTTTTTAATTTTAGGTTTTTTTGGTGCAGGATATTGAACATGGGGTCTCTGCACTGAGCTATATTCTCAGACCTTCTTTCTTTATTTGAGACATGATCTCACTAAGTTGCCCGGACTGGGTTGAACCTGTGATCCTTTTGTCTTAGCCTCCCAGAATGGTGGGATTACAGGTATGCACCACTGCATCCAGCTTAAAAGATCTACTTTTGATGCTAGGGTTGTAGCTCAGTGGAAGAGCACTTGCCTAGCATGCACAGGTCCTGGATTTGATCCAGCACCACACAATTTTTCCATATCTTTTTGGGAGCCTCTTATCTGCTAAATGTTTACAGGAGAAATCTTGATGCATTTTTGTTAGTAATAGACTGGAGATTACTTTCTAATTTTATAGAATGCAATCTTACGGGACTTCAGAGTAGAGGACCTAGCAAACTTGTGACCAGAGTTTCTGTCCCACAGAAACTTTGAGGTAGTAAATGGGTGCTTTTTAAGCCACTGAGTTTGTAGCAATTTGTGATACAGAATAGAAGATGCAGTATATAAAATAATGCAGTATATAAAATAAGGAAAATACTCCCCTGCCTTTCATTGTTACTGTTAAACTTCAGAATAGGTAACACTGAGTAGGCCCCCAGTATGGTTAAGTGTTTGACTTGGGCCTGGATTTGTATTCTAATTTGGCAGTTATTAACAATGCAAACCTGACAAGCTTATTATCTTGCTTACAAGAAGTCAAATGTCTTTGTGGGGTTATTTTAAAGATAAAATGAGAGAAAAAGCAGATTTAAAAAGGCATTTTTATTTACTACTGTGCCTGGCACTTAGTAAGTGCTTTCTCAGGGATTTGTTTTTAGTGATCATGGTCCTCTTGAAGGGCTGGGATTTGGGTGTTAGGCCAAGGGGTAGTGGGGGTGAATGTTGGGAATGTATCTGAGCTGAGTAGTTGGAAAGGGAGAAAAGTGCAAGTTTTCGATTCTTTCTTTCCTCATGCCTCTGATGCTTTCGTATCCATCTGACCTGTAGAGCAACATAGCTGAAGTCAGAGAGCTCTCCACCAAGCTGATGACTGAAGATGTTGTGAAGCACATCAGCACTTTACTCCACAGCAAGCAAATAGAAGTGAGCTATTTTGCTGCGGGTATAATAGCCCACCTGACATGTGACAAACAGCCCTGGCTGCTCTGTGACCTGCGGAGGAGTGCTCTTCTCCGGGACTTGGTACAGGAACCATTCTTCTTCACAAAGCCTAGTGTAATCTCTTCTTGCAGATAATCTGCTTTTCCATATCACAAGAGTTCTGGATATCATATGGTCATAGTAAAAATGAGGACACTATAAAGAAGAAAATTATAACTTACTCTGCCACCTGAAGCTAATCTTTAACATTGTGTTATGTTCCCTCTTGTGTTTGACATATTTTAATCCTCTCTCCTGCTTTCACCTTTTCTAAAACTATTTCTTTTGGTGTTTACCTCTGTATCGAAATAACATATTTTTATTCTCAACCGTAACTTTAGGCTTTGTCAAGTAATTGTCCTCGCTGGGGATTTTTCTCACTGCCTGTCCCTCTGTGTACCTTTCCTGTGCGCCAGCTGTAATTGAGTACATTCAAAAGTACGCTACTTGCCCTTCTCAGCTTTCTTTGCCTGAGCCTTCAGTGTTACTCCCATTTGGTTTGCCTGTTGTGTGTATCTACTGTACCTCTGTCATTGTCATCGTAGGGTGTTCCTTCCCCACCGTCCTGGGGATGCCCCTTGCCTCTCCAATGGCAGATTCCCTACTTCCTCCTTTGCATGCCTTCTGTATCTTGGCTTTTCCCCTCATGTTTCAAAGTCATGTCCTCCAGTAGCTTCATAAGAAGTTCATGAGAGTAAGAACTTAGTTGGTCAAAAGTCTGGGTTCTTGAAAATTTTAGCTTTCAAATATCTTTCCAACAGAATTTTAAAGTCTGTGCTCTGTTCTTTTGCTTTTCAGTAGTGCTATTGAGAAGTCACCCAGGTCCTCTTGAAGGTTTAACATCCTTGTCTGTAATGTGTAGAAATCACAGTGATGTATCATATGGGTTTATTTTCGTATACTATTATTGAGTACATATCACTATGGAGGCTTGTTTCCTTCTGTTCTGTTTTTGTTTTTTGTGTGTACCAGGCACTGAACCCATAGCCTGGCAAGTGCTCTACCATTGAGCTGCATCCTTGGCCTGAAATTTTTTATTTTAAATACCTTTCCTTCCCCTCTGCCCCCTTTCTGGAAGGTAACCTTTCCAGGACTTTCTCCCTCTCTCTCTCTCTCTCTCTCTCTCTCTGATCTTTTTGAAAAATTTTACTTCTATTGGATTTTGCATTTCTGCTGTTATAAGAACTTTTTTGTACTTTGAATGCTTTTCTTCTCTTGCCTTTCTTTCTTCCCTTCCTCTCCCCTTCTCTTCCCTATCCTTTGCTGTTATAAATGAAATTAGGGCTGGGCTAGTTATGCCTCACTTGCCATATGGAAATTGTATGTAGCTTATCTTTTATTTGGGGTGCTAGGGATTGAACCCAGAGCCTGTGCACACTAGTCAAGTGTTTTACCACTGAGCTACATCTTCAACCCCTCTTGAGTGCCTTAAAAATATATATTACCCTATTCTTGTTTTATGGTTGCTGTTTTTATTTATCTCCTTCAAAGGTGTTGATGGTATTTATTTTTCCATTAAGTTTATTAGTACATTTAAAGCAAACAGTATAGTTACGTTTATCATTGGGATTGTGTACTTTTATATGATATATCTTGATTCTTATTTTTTCCCCATACCCCTGCCCTCCCTTCACCCCTTCATCCTTCCCTATTTACAGAGACTTTGTTTCCTTTTTCACATTTTTTCTTTTCCCTTGTTTCCTCCCCCCCTTCCCACTTTCCCTTTAGCCTTTTTCTTCCTATTCCACACTATCATTTATACCATTTGAACCTTATTTACACTTTTAGTTTTTCACACCAGAGAAAACTATTTGGTATTTTACTCATGTGTACTGTTTATTTCACTTACAAGGATAGAGCCTCAATGTACATCCATTTAACTATAAACGTTTCTAGTTTCTCATTCTTCATGGCTGAGTAGTATTCCATTTTATAGGAAAAAAAAAACCACATCTTTATCCAGTCTCCCGTTGATGGGCAATTGGGCTATTTCCAAATTTTTAGCTATTACAAACTGCCACTATAAATATGGGTGCACATATATCACTATGGTATGATTCTTTTAATTCTTTTGGAAAGATACCCAGCAGAGGAATAGGTGGGTCAAATGGGACCTCTAATACTAGCTCTTTGAGGTATCTCCATATTGATTTTCAAAAACCATTCTGCACTCCCACCAACAATGGAGAAGGGTTCCTTTCTCCCCACAACCCCACCAGCATTTGTTGATTTCTTGATAACAGCCATTCTTTCTGGGATGAGGTAGAATCTCAGTGTTTTCTTTCATCTGCATCTCTCGAATGACCAGTGGTGTCGAACATTTTTTCATATATTTATTTGCTGCTTTTACTTGTTTGAGAAAATGTCTGTTAATTTCAGATGCCCATTTTTGTACTGGGATCAAACTCAGGACCTTGCACTTGCAAAACAGGTGGAGGCACCTCTGAGCTAAATCCCGGGCCCCACAGATGCCCATTTTTGAATCAGGTCTTTGTATTGGGGGGCGGTGTCCTGATTTTTTGTTTTTGTTTTTGTTTGCCTTTTCTAAGGTCTCTGTTTTCTGCAGGTTTCTCTTTTTTCATACTTTGTTATATTAGATAATCCCCCACCCCCACCCCGGCAGGTGCTATGCCACTGAGCTAAATCCCCAGTCCTGTTCAAGATTTTTTTTTTTTTCTTCAGTACAGGGGATCAAACTGAGGACCTTGGACTTGTGAGGCTGGCACGGTGCCAGGGAGCTAAATCCCCAGCCCAAAGGTTTTTTTTTGGTGGGGGGTTGCCCCAGATTGAACTTTGGACCTAGTGCTTGTGAGGCAGGGAGCAGCACTACTGAACTAAATCCCTGGCCCCTGTTAGAGTTAATTCTTAAAGTATGTGGTGATACTTTGCCAGTCATTTTCCATTAATATCTAAAGAGGATGACTATTTACAGATGAGTAGACCTTTTTAATTGTGGGAATCACTATAAAGGGCTATGGATTAAGTGTCCTTCTGTGCCAGTGTCTGTAAATCTTTTGTCTTACACTGGTTGGAGCTTACTTGGAGAAGTCTCCTGTTTTCTGGCATGTAAATTGTAAGTTTGATTGCCATTCATCTGAAAGCCCTCTGTGTTACCTCCCATCCATGGCTGGAACAAAATACTTAATACCTGCAACTTGAGGATGAGAGATTTATTTGGTTTGTTTCTTCAGTCCACAGTTGGCCATCTCCAAGGCAAAAACAGCATGGTGGGAGGGGATGGCAGAGCAAAACTGCTCAACCTGTAACAGGAGAAGTCAGCGAAAGCAGAAGCCAGGGACTTAAATATACCTGGGTCTCAACTCCAGTGACCCACTTCTTCCTGACTAGGCCCCACCAGCTCATCAATGAATTAGTCCATCATTGAGTATTGTACACCCATGATCAGTGACCTTTCAAAAGCCCTACCTGCGAACACATGAGACGTTGGGGGAACATTTTAGATTTAAACAATATACTGACTTAAAGAGAGCTGGGGACAGGAGAAACTCAACATTTAGCATGTAGAGTTTCATTCTAGCCCCTTCTTTTTAGCACAGTGTTCTCACTCTTAATTTTTCCTAGGATTGTTCAGCCCAGAAGTTTTTCTTAAGTATAGGAGAAAGGAGATGCTAGAGGTTTTGACCCTTTAATCCTCTCAACTGACCCCCTGTTTAGTTTAAAAGTTACCTGGTATGCAAAATTTTTAATCCTCACAGAGGTTCTGTTCTTTGTTTTCTGCATGTTTGCTTCTGTTTGAAGTCATTTTACTATAGTATTCTGTTAAAGGGCTATAAGGAAGGGGTAGAGATAAATGTGTGCTTGCTCAGTTTACTGCCTTTTAAAAAGCCACCTTGTTTGCATTTTCTACTTTGTTCATATATTCTATGTATATAATAACTACATATATAACTGGTAACTTGGCAAGAAGGTGTAATCTGAATTTGTTTAATCATTCCCATATTTTGAAAAGTTACATTGTTTTGAACATGTGTGGTTATAAGTGACATGAAGCAGTCTACTGTGAACTTTTTAAAAATGGTAGAATATGATACTAAACTCTTGGTTTCTTCTCCTTTCTGTCTTTTGGAGTATAGCATGCAACCATCCAGAAATGGCCTAGTTCAACATGTAAGATGTCAGCATTGGTGACCTACAGGTAATTTTATTATGATGTTGTTCTTTTCTTACAGCTTGTCCTTGGTGTGCTTGATACAGTGATCGAGTATTAGGTGTCATTTAGCCTCACATTCAAGTTTTCCACATCTATGAAATGAAGCTGAGAGTATGCAAGACTGAGGATGAAATGAGATACTGGGTATGCAGATAGTCTGACACAGAGTGCACTTTCTTAAATGAATGCTCCCAACTGTTGGCTGTAGGATATTTTTGCCTTGGTGAGGAACTAACCCTTTAGGGGAAATGCTGAAAATTATTCTCTATTCCTGAGTTCTGAATTAATGTCTTTTTACTGTTTTAGATCCTTCAAAGCATTTTTCCCACTCCTTGGCAACTTCTCTCAACCAGCGGCTCAGCTCTGGGCACTGTGGGCTATGTATCATGTCTGCAGTAAAAACCGTATGTGTTCATTATGTACTCAGAATAGTAATATTCCAGCTATTTTTCTGAATAATGAAGGGGTTCAAAAATTGTCTACTTATGTCCTTAAAATGTTGCTCTTTTCCTTATACAATTGGTGAATTTAGCTCTTTTTAAAAAGAAATGAATATTATTTTATTAGTTTTTTTGTGTGTGTGGTACTGGGGATCAAACTTGGGACCTTGGACTTGTGAGGCAGGCAGTGGCACCACTGAGCTAAAGCCCCAGCCCTATTTTATTAGTTTTTAAAATGCTGTAAAATTAGTAATATATTGGGTGTTTATATCTAGCAATATAGAGAGTAAAAATTTGTTTTGGCTCCTATTTCCTCCAGGCAACCAGCATTAATAATTTGATAACTATCCTTCCAGTTACTTTTCTGTACATGCTATATTTGGTATATGCTTTTTATAAACTTGATACGAAATCATACAGCTATGATTTTTATACTAGGAAACCGAAGAGACAACTTTGCTTATTAAGCATATTGACTTTATATAAACTATATAGCATGGTGACTATATAAATATAAAAACCCAGTAGATTGATTTGTTGATTGATTGATATTTGTTTTGTTTTTGTTTTGTTTTGTTTTGTTTTGTTTTGTTTTTGAGACTATGAAGTCCACACTGGCTTTAAACTCACTATGTAGCCCAGACTGTCTTCAAACTCACAGTGATCTTTCTGCTCCAGCTTTCCAAGTAGTAGGATTATAGGTGTGTGTCACCACACCCAGCCCCACTAGTTTTTGTTTTTTGGTACTAAGGATCAAACTTGGGACCTTGTGCTTGTGAAAAAGGCAGTGGAACCACTGAGCTAAATCCCCAGCCCCCTACTAGTTTTTAATATCTGCAAAATTCTGATAAGGGAAAAGATGCAATTCAAATTATCAACAAAACATAAAATATTTTAAAATGACTTTAACAAGGAATAAGAAATTGGGCACGCTTGGGAATCTCAGGCAGGGGGATCACAAGTTCAAGGCCAGCCTGGACAACTTAGGGAGATACTGTCCTAACGTGAAATAAAAAGGGGTAGTGGTGTAGAGTGCTTGCCTAGTATGCACAAAGCCCTGAGCCAGTCCCTAGGCCATTAAGAAAAAGTAATGAGATCTATGTAGGAATTTTATAAGGCATCACTTAAAAAACTGACATACTTCAGAGATGCGCTAAAGAAGGAAAGACTGACTAAGATACAGATGTCAACTTTTTAAAAATTTTATGGATACAGTACAATTCCAGTGAATGGGCAAGAGATGTCGGGGATTGAAAATTACTCTAAAGTTCATCTCACAAGATAAACAGGAGAAAAACTAACAAAGGAAACATTTTTAGAAGGCACAGACATGAATAAAGCAATGGATCAAAATGATTCTGAAACAGACTAGTTTCTCCTCTCCCCTCTCCTTTCCATTTTTGGTGTGGTGCAGGAATACCTGCTCTGCCCCTGAACTACATCCTCAGCCCTGCTATTTTCAGTTGTAATAGTGGTAACAACTAGAACTTAGGTGACTATTTACCGTGTACCAGGTAGTGGATGCACTTGGATAACTCATTTAGAAGTGGGTAGCATTATTGTCATCCTCATTCTCATCCTTCTGTCACAGATGAGAAAACTGTGATGCATGGGGAAGTGACTTGCCCAGGGTTAAAATGGCTAGCAGTTGCTAGAGACAAGGCCTAAACCCAGTGAACCACAGTGGTTCAAAAGCTTAGGGTTTTTTTCACTCCATATGAGTAGATTAATTTATGGAGTGTGGTTCCAGTCTTATTCCTATTACAAACACTATTTTAAAATTATAAACAGCAAAAAAGATACACACATGCAGTAGTATGTTGATTAAGAAAACAGACCCCGGAACCAGATGACCTGTGCTGAACTTGCAGGTTCTGTCATTTACTAATTGTGTATCTGAGCAGATGACTTAACCTCTCTGTGCTTCCATTTCCTAAGCTATAAAATGGAGATAACAGTACTTACTTCATAGGAATTTATGACAATTAAGTTGGTTAATATTTGTACAGAATTTAGAACAGTGGTAATACAGTGATGTGTTTTGTTTTGTTTTTTGTTGTTTTTGTACCAGGGATCAAATTTGGGACCTTGTGCTTACAAGGCAGATGGCAGCACCACTGAGCTAAATCCCAGCCCAATACAATAGTGTTTTTATGTAGCATAGTATTAGTATTAGCATGGTGTGTAGCGTTTGTTAGTAAAATCGATAATTTTGCAATCATGTGAATTAATCTGTAGAATCCTTGGAAAATTGCTGAGTCAAAGTTATAAACATTTGTAATTAGATAGGTATTGTTAAATTGTCCTCCAGGAAGTTGATTACCAATATAAATTCCTGTTAGTAACGTGTAAGACCCCACCTCCCATTCTGGGGCTCTAATCTAGGGCCTTGTGTGTGCTGTGCATGTACTCTACTGCTGAGCTATATCCCAGCCTTTTTAAATTGTGAGACAGGATAACTTACTGTGGTCTTGAACTTGTGATGCTCCTGCCTCAGCCTCCTGAATAGCTGGGATTACAGATATGCATCAGTTTTTCATAGGTTATTAATGACAGACTCTAGCTGAAATGTAACTCCCTCCTTTCTTACTACTAAATAAGAACATGGTTGGGCATAGCATTCTAGAGTAAGAGTTATTTTCTGTCAGCACTTGGAAGAAAAAAATATTTCCATTTTTTTCTGTTGCTCTTGAGCTCTTCTAATTATTACTCCTCCATAGGTAATTATTCCCCTTTTGGTTCCTTTATGCCATCTCCCCCCGCCATCTGCAGCTTACCTATAGCTTATCTTAATATGGTTATATTTGTGTTCTCCTTGATACTTCTGGTTTGATTTAGGAATTTTTAAATGTTACCTTTCCTTCATTTTTCTCTGTTGTTTGCTTGGGGAACTTCTGTCAGATAGGTATCTTGGTTTCTTTTTCAAATCTACCTATCCTTAGCTGAGTGCAGTAGGGTGTGCCTGTAATCCCAGCACTGACAGAGGCTGAAGCAGGAGGACTGTAAATTTGAGTTCCACCTAGACATTTGAGATCCTGTCTCAGAAAAGGGCTGAGAATGTATCTCATTGGTAGTGTACCTCTGGCTTTGGTTCCAGTACCACAACAAACAAAATAAGAAAACACAAGATCCTGTTTTTTATTTCTTAAAAATAATTATTTTGTTGTGGTGGTGCATATCCATCAGCATCAGCACTTAGGAGGCTGAGGCAGAGGAGCACTGTGAATTCAAGGCCAGCCTGTGCTATATATAACAAGACCCTGTCTCAAAACCAAAAAAGAAAAAGTAATTCTTTGTGATCTTTATCAGACCTGATTGTGCTTGCATGTTGAGGGAGGTGATTCTAATCTGTCCCCCATTCCTCCCATTGAGGATTTTTTTTTTTCTTTTTATTGAGTTTATTGGTACAATCTAGGTATACAATACAGTTACATTCATTATTGGGATCCTGTACCTTTACATGATAGGTCTTGATTCTAATTTTTTCCCCTTGTCCCATTGAGGATTGACCCAGGGGTTCTTCAACACTGAGCTACATCCCCCCCAGCTCTTTTTAAAATTTCATTTTTACAATCTTGGTCAGTTGCTGAGGCAAGCTTCGAATTTTCAGTTCTTCTGCCTTGGCCTCTCGAATAACTGGCTATAGTTGTGTTTCACCAGGCCTGGATCTGATCTGTTCATTTTTGCTTATATTGCATTTTTGTATTTTTTGTTTGTTTTGTTTTGGTTTTGTGTGTGGTTTTTTGTTGTTGTTGTTGTTGTTGTTTTTGGTACCTGGGATCGAACTTGAGACCTTGTACTTGCGAGGCAGGCAGCAGCACCACTCTGAGCTAAATCCCCAGCCTTCAACATCCATTTTTAGGGGGTTTGGAGTTGTTGTTGGAGATGAAGTCTTGCCAAATTCCTACGTGGGCTTGAATTTGTGATCCTCCTGCCTTCTAGAGTATGTGCCACCAAGCCCATCCTTATATTAATTTCTATGCCAGAAAATTCCTTCTGTATATTCAGTTGTTCATTTAAAAATTTTAAGGAAATATTTTTAACAGTAATGTTTTCAGGTTATTTCTTCCAACATACTTCCTGAAATTGACAGGTACATACTTTTTGAAGTAAGGGAAGTTTGTTCCTTTTATAAAAGCTAGGATTAGGGTCGAGGATTTAGCTCAGTGGCACTGTGCCTGCCTTGCAAGCACAAGGTCCTAAATTCAATCCCTGGTATTGCCAAAAAAAAAGTTAGGATTAAGGTGGTTGAAGTCTGCTAGGGTTGGAGTAGCAGGTAGCTCAGTGGCAGAGCCCTTCCCTAATGTGCACGAGGCCCTGGGTTTGAAGTTGAATTGTTTGGAAATAAACATATAAAAATAATGTTTTCTCACCCTACAAGCCAAGCATTACTCAAGTTTTGACAAATTTCTCTGGAATTGATTGATTTTAGTTATAATTCCTGGGTCAAAGAGCTTTAGCTTTTGTAGTTTTTCTTTGTAAAGGTATATACAGTGATGTGGGAATATTTGAAACACCAATTGTCTTTGTTTGATTTTTCTTTCAGCCAGCGTGTACTGCAAAATGTTAGCTGAAGAAGGAGGATTGCAGTTTTTGTGTGATATCCAGGTGGACGGCCAGGCAAACCCACAAGCACAGCAGATTGCAGTTTCCATTCTACAGGACTTCAGGATGCATTTCACAAGCTATCGGAGATTCCCTCTGTGTTGAGTGTTCTTCCTGCACCCCAGGGCAGTGGAGATGCGCTCTGTTCTGCAGACCTCCGGCCCTGTTGGTAATTCAGTGTTGAATGTTGGAGCTTATGAGTTGGCTGTCTCATTGGCTTTTTCTTTTTTTTTCTTTCTTTTGGTACTGGGGAATCAAACTCAGGACCTTGTGCTTGCAAGGCAGTTGGCAGAACCACTGAGCTAAAACCATGGCCTTCATTTGCCTTTTCTTGTTGAGTTTTTGTTAAATTAAATTATAAAAGGGTTGGGTTTGTATGCTACCCATAATCCCAGCTCAAGGTGGAATCCTTTTAGGAACACTTCCTTTAGCAGCAGTTTGGAGAAAATGAAACCACAGGCTCCAGGAAGACCTGGGAGCTTGTGTTGAACGAGTTAGGTCAGTTTTCCTGTGTGGGGAGCTTGTCAGATGAGCAGGACCCATGTACCCAGAAGAGAAATCAAAGACCTACAAGGGAAATCTTGATGGTTATGTTAAATTTCCTCAGTTGTTGTGGTTATATGAAACTACCAGAAAAGAAATATATGAAGAAAAGATGAGAAAGTATGCTCATAGATTTTGTTTGGAAGGCAAAACCTCTGGTGGAGAATAAAAGAATTTATTTTATTTATTTTTTACAGATACCAAATATTTTCCATTTGAGTAGAGGAAATGTTTAATCTTAATATGCTATTTGTGCCCTTTCTTATGCAACTTGACTGATTAGACCAAGTGAATGGGGCATTGTGGGGACTTGGGTGAGCCCAGTAGACGGGGGTAGAGTAGACACAGCAGGCCCAGCTGTGGGCCTGAGCAGAGGAAAGATGATACAGAGATTGTAAGTCTCATTGCCTCACAGTTTGCTGTAACTGGGAGAAAGAGGGTGGGCCCCAAAAAGAGTGCCAGACATTTCATGGGGTGCTCTTAGTGTGGAGAAAAAAGGTGTAACTCTTCTGAGAACTAATCTCAACTGCAAAATAAACTATCAGATGCTTTAAGGACCAAAAGTAAAGTCCAGGTTGATTATTAGCCTGTTTAAGGACTAGTCTTGTGCATTCATTCATTGATTCATTCATTCAGTTTGTTTTCCCCAGTACTGGGAAATCAAACTCAGGACTTTGTGCTTGCAGGGCAGTGGGCGTCACTGAGCTACATCCCCAGCCTAGTCTTGTGCTTTTAGCTGGCTTGGTCCAGGCTCTTATTTATTTTGAGATACAGGGTCACTCTGTAACCCAGGCTGGCTTCAGATTTATAATCCTGCCTCAGCCTCCCAAATGCTGGGACAGTTTACAGCCGTACCACCCTGAAAGTGCCCAATCTCGTCTGATCTCGGAAGCTAAGCAGGGTCAGGCCCGGTTAGTACTCGGATGGGAGACCAAATGCTGGGATTAGGGGCACGCACACCACGCCAGGCTGGCCAGACTTGTAACTGGCATATCATGTGCCATCTTTGGGAAACAGGTGAAGAAGAAACTCATCCTTAGTTATTCTAAACCATTTTCTAAACTATTCCTTACCAGCGTCCTCATAGATAAGCAGAATTTGTAACCAAGTCTTTCCATAGTCTCTAAACTGAACTGTATTTTCTCACACACTGATTCTAAAAAGGGTCTCTTAGTTTCCTGACCTGGATGGCAGAATGTAGGAACACTGCATTACAGGTGGAACCAGCATCTGCTGTGGCCTAGCTCCATACCAGGTATCCCTTCAGATTTTGTCTCATTGTAATTCTAAGGCATGGACCTTCACTCTCCCCTCCAGGATGCAGGTGTAATCCCAGCATGCTTACATTCAGCAAATCACTGTCACTGGTGTGTGTATCCACGGCTGTGCTCAGGACGCTCAGCCAGGGCTCATATCCAGCTAGATGACAGGCAAGTCTTGAGAGTAGTACGGATGTGTGAATGCCAGTTCCTGTTCCTATTATTGTCTAAGGACGTCATCCCCTGTTCACCTTTGCTTGTGCTGTTCCCATCAACCTTCGTCTTCCGCTGATCTCCAGGCTGAGATTCCAGTGTCACCTGCTCATTTCCCAAACCTCCCTCCGCTCCGTTAGAATTGATCGCTCTAAGCAGAGTGTGGTGGTGCACACCTGCAATCCCATGTGTTTAGGAAGCTGAGGTAGGATTGCAGCTTCCAGCCCAGCCTGGGCAACTTAGTTGAGACCATGTCTCAAAACAAAAAAGGCTGGGAATGTAGCTTAATGCAAAGGCTCTGGGTTCATTCATTCCCTGGTACTGGAAAAAATTTGCTCTCAGTGTTCCCGAAGGCCAGTGAAAATCTTCCTGCCATCCTACAGTTTACAAAAGGTTTTTGCTGTGATTTCATTTGATCCCATAATACACTAGAGGTGAACATTTATAATGCGTTTTTTGAACATGAGGGTTTAAAAAAATCTTCAGCAGATTGATTTCACAGATAAAGGTTGAAGCCTAAAGAGGTCCAAAGTTTTTCCAAGGTTATACAGCTGGTAACTGGACTCTGCAGTTCAATTCCTGACACAGGCTCAACCAGTACTAGGATTGATTCTTGTCCAAAGAAAGAAACAGGTTTTATACAACATTTTGGTGTCTGATAAAAGCACCTTGGTGAAGAGGCAGAGATCATGCCCTGAGAGTCACCCATACAGAGCCAAAAGGGTTCACGTTAACCTGTGGTTTGCTATGTGTATAGGGAGAGCCAATCGTTCTCCAAAGCAAACCAACACCAGTGATCATCTAGATGGGGCGAGGAGAAAGGAAGGCAGCTGGAGGTGGTGTGGTCAGAGTCTTGGTCAGTCATTTTGTATCCATCACCACCTTGGTGAAGGAACCGAAGGCCAGTGATGAGGTGGTACTGCTGCGAGCCTCCTTCAGGGTGCATCTCCTGTGCATGAGGTCACTTGCCAACAAATTTTGGGGGCCGCTTTTCCCTGAAGGCTGCCATGCCCTCCAGCCGGTCCTGGGTTGGGATGTTCTGCAACAAAACACAGGATACCTAAGTTGGGGGTTGGGGCGGGGGCACAGAAACCAGGCTGTCTAGGACCCTCCTGGCTCCTGTCTGGGGCCGTGCAGAGCTGTGAGCCTGCCTCCTGGGGAAGGCACCCCACCACCCTTGGCCTTTCCTTGCACCCTGTAGAGGCCATGTCCTCCTCCAGCAGTCTGATAGGAGCCTGCTCAGTAGAGATCAGACTGCAGCAAGAAGCTTGAGCTTTAAATCCAGCAATAGTTGGTTCTCACTAGGTCTACCAGTCCCAAGACCCTTTCCTTAGTAATCCTAGCACTCAGGAGGCTGAGGCAAGATTGCCAGGAGTTCGAGACCAGTCTGGGCTACATAGTGAGTTCCAGGTCAGACTTAACTACATAGTGAGACCTTGTCTCAATTAAAAAAAAGGAATGTTTTAGATTAATTATCCTTGAAAATTTTTTTCACTCACCTGAGTTGGGTCTGCCTCCAGTTTTCAGTCCTTCCATTGGGTACACCCTGTAGCTTGTACAGCCCTTGACATTACCTGCTGCCCAGGCCCTACAGTGTTGCCTGGTCACTTAAGTGGGGAAGGATGAACCACCACTTGGTAGTTGAAGAAATAAGGAGCCATGTGTCCCCTGAGCCACTACAGTTAATTAGGAGGGGCTGGGTTGAGCCTTCCCAGTAGGTCACACATTGCTAATTTGCGTGCAGGCCTGGTAACAGTCACATACCTGGGCGTAGCACATCCCTTCAATGGCCATCCCCGATGCAATGTCCACCTGCAAGGAGGAAGTGCTCCCTGTTGAGCCAGAGCTGTGTACCTGCCCCCATACCTTGTGGCCATCTGAGCAGAGATGACTGCAGTGATGATTGCTGGTTTGTTTCTCCAGGCAGAAGAGCAAACTGCAGGCTCCAGCCCATGTCCCTCCCTCCCCACTGGCTCACCACACCCTCTGCCACCCCAGGGTTAATTAGCTGCAGGCTTTGGGCCCTGGCACTTTCTCCAGCCCTGCTGCCCCGCCCCCACTGCTGTCAGCACCTTTTAAGTACTGTGGATAGAGACTCACTTTGACGGTGAGGTTACACGGCTGAGAAACCCACCTGCAGCCACAACTGTATTGGAGCCCGTGCCTCAGCCCTGGTGGGCTGCCTGCTCACACAGCTGGGTGCCTTTGTTCTGACTTCCGCTATTCTCTGGGGTTCTTAGCTAGCACCCCAACCCCCCATATAGCCTCCAGCCACAGGTAAAAGGAAAGCTGAATTTATTTTTTTTCTTTTTTTGTACCAGGGATTGAACTCGGGTCCTTGTGCTTGCAAGGCAGGCCACCGAACAAGTGAGCTAAATCTCCGGCCCGAAAGCTGAATATTCTTAGTGTGTTTTTCATCAAGTTGTAACAGTCACCTGTGGCTGTCATGGGCAGCTCAGCTCTCACTGCTGAGGCATCTGGTACCCTTAGCCTCCGGTTAATACTTGCGTCTGTGTCTCCTCGCCCACCCTGAGGGCACCTCTGTCTCAGTTCCCAACACGGGTTGAGAGTGAGTTAATCCCCACAGGCAGATCAGCTGCCCTGGCATCATCACCCCAAGCCCTGTGCCTGAGGCCAGCACTAAGCCGAGAGCGTGGACTGGGAGCCACACAGACCTGAATTCTTCCTGCTTGCTTCCTCTGTGGGCAAGCCCTTTGCCCTTTCTGCACCTGTTTCTCCTCTCCATGGGGTAGAGAAGAGGGTAAAATTCATCAGGAATATCTGGCCACCTTTACCACTTTGCAGATGAGTAAACTAAGGGGTCAGACTTGAAACCCACAGATGAGCTGTTTTCTAGTTTTTCCATCTGTGTTGTCGCTAAGAACCAGGAAAACACCCAGCAACTGCCGCCTCTAGTGTGGACCCAGGGTCTGTGCCCATAGAGTCTTACCTCCATTCCTCGGTCAATGGCCACTTTGCCCAGCCGCACAGCAATGGGGGCCTGGGGAAAAGCAAACCAGTGCTTGGTTGAGTGGCTCAACGCGGGTTTGAGCTGGAGAGGCACAGCTTTGCTGGGTCTAATTCTCACACCAGCTTTCTGGTCCATTGTATTTCCTAAGCTTTAATCCTCCTGCCTTAGGCCAAGCTTCTTTTTCTGTAGTAAACAAAGTAGATTGACTCTGACCCTCGCTGTCCTCACCAGCTGGGGTTCTTATCATTTACCCCTCCTTCCGGTGTTTACACCTTAAGGCTCTGGAGCACTTCCTTACCAGCAGGCTCACTGAATGGTCTGCTGGCCTTCCAGGCTAGAGTCCTCGCAAGTCACCCAGTTACAGGTGTGAAACTGAGCTCAGGGAGGTAAAGAACTGGCTGTGTTACCTGTCACCTTCCTACTGCGGAGCTC